TCCATCAGATCTCTCTGCAATTGTATGATACCCCAAAAAAGGGTTCAAAATCATGTGCCATGTCCTGCTAAACACACCACCATGGCTCCTCCAAACAGAACAGACAATAACCAAGGCACGCTAGCAGAGGAAATAGCTTTCATGCCAGTTTGGTGGTGCATCCTGAAATATGAATATTTTCCTTTTTTTTATTTTTGTCAGGGAAAAGAGTGGGATATATTTGTAAACCTTCAGTAGTTTAAAATGAAGGCACCTCAAACAGAATGTCATGTCACAGAATTCGTTTGTTCTTAATTTAATTTAATGTTTAAATTAGACCAAATTAAAAAAAAAAAACAAAACAAAACCCAAAGGTGAAAAATAATTAAAAGAAGTGACAACGTAGAGGATTTCATCAAGATGTTTGTTTGCACAGCAAACAGTATTGCTTTGAGCAATAAATCATTTTCACAAATAAGGCATGTTCAATGTATGCAGAATGGTGAAGAGGCAATGCTTCTGAACAATAGAGGCAATGTTTATGAACAAGAGGCTTATTCCTAAACAGAAATATATATTTGTATTTTTTCAGACACAAAATTGAACTGTGTGCAAATAATTTTGGATACATTCAAAAATACTTATACTTGTACAGACACTTAAGATTCTTTTCCAAACATGGTTCAGATAATTTACTTTAAAGGACATGCCCTTTAGAGGAAACAGCCACTCTTTCTTAGCTCTCCAGGTCAGAAAAAGAACTTCCTCATGTATATTGCTTGCTATATACAACAGTACTTGTTTAAGGGTCTATTGTGAAGGGCTTTGCTCTGAATAATTTTCCCTGAAAACCATTAAGGCACATCCATAGGAGGATTTTAATTTTTCAGACTGCATACCTATATCATATACACTACGTATTTATATAATATTAGAGCACAAGTCCTAGTACCTCTACTTTGTATTGCATTTTTAGTTTTTTCATACTATTGCTTATGTTTGATTTCTTAATCTTTCACAGGTCAAGCAACTAAAGCAAAAGATCTCATGACTTGCCTTTTATTGCTGTACAAGTATGAGTTTCCCTAGGCAGTCTTTCCTTTATGAACTTCCTATTGCTGATAGAGACAGAAATGCATTGTTGTGAAAACATGAGTCTGAAATGGGAAATATTTTACAACAAAACATTGCTGGCTAACATCACCCCAAGGAGCATATCATAAAGCTGATAGGGGTAAAGACTGTTCCAAGTCCATCTGTCAAGAAAGAGCTGAAAATTCTGAAACATTCTTACAGACCTTTAGAACAAACAGAAAACAGCATTTGCATTAAAAGCACATAAAAACCATATAAAGTACTGCAAATTATATTAAAAAAAAATTCCAAGACACAGCAGTTACAGATTATCAAGGGAGAGACAGTTGAAAAGCAAAAGTTTTTTGTTCAGTTTTTTTTTTTTCTTGGCAATAGTAGCATTTTGGCACAAAGGCAAATGCAGAAGACAGAGAAAAACAGGCAGACAAGGTACAGAGAAAGTTACAGAATCTACGACAAGCATGCCACAGTTCAGCAGGACCAAAAGCACAGTAAGAGTTGTCCCCAACTTCCCTTTCCCAGAAAGAATGGCAGCCGCTGCTCAAAGGCTTGTTGCCACTTCCCACACTGAAGGGTTCCAGAAGCCAGTTTGGCCATAAGCTCCCCTGTGGGCAGCAGGGCAGAAGCCACCCAGGCTCCCTGCAAACCCCTCCCAAAGAGGGTGATTCCAGCTGACTGCAGAACAAACCTCAACCTGCTGATCACAGACTGTGCCCTGCAACCACAGCTCTACGAGGGACAGACAGAACTCACTACATGCCAGTCAGCACTGTGGCTACCCAGGCAGGGACTGACATCTTTAGCAAGGTTAATCCGTGCCAAACAGGTTAGTGACAGCACAAGAAAGGGCTTGCTGTGACCAATCTCACCTCATCTGATTAAACCTGCTGAAGGCTATTCTGTGGTTGAATATATTTTAAGCATTAAGCTGGCTAAAAAAGGTTTGGTGATACAACTAAGGGGGCAGTGAATGTAGGGAGAAAACCCATGCAATTTACATCCATTTGGGATTTCATGGCAACTACTAAAAAGCAGGTCTTGCATGAGTCACCATAAAGTTCCCTGAAAAAAGCACTTTCAGTAACTCAGGGCTGAATTTAACTCTCAGGTCTAAAATTTTTAAGGGGCTGCCTTTTTATATATTCCACAATGGATGTTACTGTTGTACACCTTCCCTTTGGCTTCTAAGCTATATTTGCATCTCCACCAAATATCAAACCTGAGCATGTTACAGGCTTTTCTGCTTTTACTTAATCCTTTTAGAGGCAACTAACACTCTACACCAAGACCTACCTCACTACTGAGCTTTAATTCAGCCCTCAGGGCCTGAAATTGCTATTGCCAAATTCCATTAGGTGGTCTTGCCTTAAAGGAAGTAAAACACTTTCAGCTCTATGACCTGTACTGGGTGAGTGACCAGATGGATGAAGTGGAGGCTAGGAAACAGACCTCTGCCTCTGTCTTCATCTCAGATGGGTTTTTGCTCGAGGTATTTGTCTAGGCTACAGTGAAAGCTTGCAAGAAGGAATATACACAAGTAGTTTAAACTCAGGAGTTACACCAAGATGTAATCTTACAGACTCCTTTTGATAATTCAGAAATAATATCCTGTTCTTCCACTGCATAGGTAAGCTTGCTAGTTCAAAAAGGTTTGTTTTTCCAAGCCATGAGTAACTGTAAAACCCACCACAGGTTTCTTGACCTAGCTACTCAGCAAGAAGGGGAGCTGAAGGTAGGTACCTATAGGACATGACTGTTATTCTAACACAGAACTGACCTGCCTTTAATGCCACTGTGGCTTGTTTTTCAAGTACCTTGCATTTTGCTTCCTCCTGCTTCTTAATCATTGCTAAGTCAGTCAGTAGTTCCAAGAGTTACTTAAATCATACTGCACAAAGAGAATGAAACTCAGCCACTAATGATATTTCTTTAGCACAACAGAGGCACTGCTCACCTCTTCTAGCACTGAATGTACGTCTGCCATGCACACACAAGAATGCACCACAACACCCTGCCTGAAAGGTGACCCAGCTAAGCTGAGCACGCCCTAATGCACTTAGGGCACTGCAAGGGCCAAAGCTTTAAAAGGTCTAAAAGCTCTGAACATTATGCTACAGTTATATACTGCTCTGAAAAGCAGAAAGCAAACAGAAGGAGCCCTAGATTTCAAGCTTTTTCATTAGACAAAATGGTGTCTGTTCCATCTTACTCCTCTGGGAATACTGCAGTACTACTACAGGATTGTGCCACCACTACAGAAGGATACATCTGATTTATAGCTGATTTTTTTCTGATTTATAGAAATTTATCACAAACTATGCCCTGTTGTTTGCTCTACTTAGTGATCATTTACGTGCTAGCTGCTGAATGCTCCTTTGTAAAAGCAATTAAATTTGATTTGTTGGAAGGACTAATCCAAAGGAGATTTTCTGCCAGCAGTTGCTATGATAAGCTAATTGTTAAATGTAATTCAAATCTCCTCCTCCCAAAACACCTTATGCTCACATCAGTTGCCCTGTGCATCATTAAGCATTTTTCTATTTAAGAATATGCTCCAAGCTACAAAAAAAAAAAAAAAAATCACTTTGAGAGAAAGCAGTTTTAGATCTATCCAGTTATGCAAAAAATGCTATAGTTCACACATCTGTCCATAGCATTTTGCAAATATCATTCTTCCCTACCCTTTTCTCACTTTTGCCATATAGAAACTGGACACACACAAAAGAAGAAATCTTGAAAGTAACTACACTCCAAAAATCAACACACTAAGGATAAATTTCTGTCAGATTGCATTCAGTTACAATCTTAGAAACAGTTGTATAATATAAAGTCAAAGAACACCATGATTTTTATCTGCTCCTGTGTTGTTAAGGTCTTCTCAACTGGCACTATGGAAACATTATTTTCTTAAAGTATTGCTCTAAGTATGTTCCCTTTCTAAAAGCAGCTGATTTAGCTAATTCATAGTCTTCTGGAACAAGTACTAGAAATTAATATTTCTTCCTTTTTCTGACTTTACAAAATGAGCACTTGGGGGCTGGGCAAACGAGCATTTGTAGCACAGACACTTCTCTCGTGTTAGAAGGAATTAGAATTTCAAGTTAAAAGGGGAAACTATGTCACAGTAAGACACACGCATTCACCACCCCATTTCCAAAGCCACGAACAGGAGCAGCACAGATGCTGGTGGAGGGAGGAGCACCATGACCTGCCAGCACCACGAAATTCAAGGGGTTTAAGGAATCCAATCCCATTAGCTGTCAGACATCCAGAATTCCAAAGGAGACACAACCCAAAGGTAATGGGATCTTTTCCATTCAAGTACCAGATTAATAAAGAGAAGATTGGGAGAATGAGAAACCACACCCAGAATTCAGGAAAACACAGAAATCCAGTTTGTGAGCTATTCCAGTGCTTCATAAAAACTTTTCATTTCACTGACATAGAGCTGCATACATTACAGGCCTCTTTATCTGGGCTGACTCAGAGGAGACCCTCAACTGAGCATCTGTGTTTTCCTGGTATTCTTTCAAATAATGTCCTTGAAAGAACTGAGAACATCCAGGCCCCAAAGCCACAGTGCAAAATAATATATTGAGATTTCCACATAGCACACAAAATTCACATGGCACCGCAAAAACCAAACGAGTTACACAGCTCAAAGTTGGGTGACATCAATTCTCACTGGTCAGCAGGCTGCCCACAGAATTCCCCTAGGATCTGCCCAAGAACTTCTGACTGGACATAGAGAAAGGGCACCCCAAATGCCAGCAGCTGACACATGAAAAAGGAGTCCAGAGGGTTCTGGGCTACGTGGTGCCCAATGGAGGAGACTGTGCTGTGCAGGTGCTGGCTCACCACCCTAACTCTGCCCACGAGGCCGAGCGAGTACTGCACCACCCTGCTAAAGAAGGAAGCGGAGCTACCTGGGGCCCTCTCTGCTGAGGTGGGGATGCTGTTGGCCCGTCCGCTCCCATCGCTGGCCATGGCGTCCTGCAGAGGTCCTTTGGTGTCCTGGAAGAATGTGAGGGAAGTGAAATTCATGTTAAAATTGGAATTGCTGGGAGTACTGAACATGTTGAGCAAGGAACTGAGACACCCCGTGACCATCACATAAGGCAAGGTCTGAAAAACAAGCATGTTCCTTCTCAATTTAAGGCTTTATTAAAGCTCTGAAAAACAAACTGGGTAGCCAGCTGTAAGATCTCTGAAGTCTGCTCCTCTGGGAAATAAAACAGGTACCATTTTTGGTCTTTATTTTTGGCAGGAAGTATGGCATATATTAGGATGGATCCATTATCCTTCCAAAAAGGAGTACAGCTCCAGCTCGTACTAATAAAACCTGAGAATCAGGCAGAAGGACAGACACCACTGCTTGCACAAAGGAAAATATAATTCAAGGGACAAGGGCAGTTTGCAGCATACAAGCTTAACAGAATTTAAGAAATCAGCATGTAGCTTGCTCAGAGAATGTGAAAATACAGAAAAGGGGCTCAAGGAGAAAAATAAGGTGCCTTGGATTGTAACAACAAAAGCTGAGAAACTTTTCTGTATTGCAGAGTGTCTCTCCATCTGATATTTATAGCACAAATCCTTCTATTATGATAGTGCAGGAAAGGGGATATTCTGTCTTTCCATGCAGGTTCCTGTTAACACACAGCAGACCTTCAGAAATGAAGGCATGTGATCTTCATAGCTTATGCAATTGGGGTAGAACTTTATATTTCAAAGGAAATGGAAACAATTTGTTTCACCTTCAGTAAAACCATGGAGAAAAAAAGAAAAACCAGAACTGGTAACATTATTCATTTAGTCTCAGCATACACTGAGAAAGTATTTCAGCTGACAAGAAAAACAAATCAAAATTCCGTTTTGAACAGGATAGCACATTATTTTATAATAAGTATCATGAAAAGAGTAGTAGTACTAAGCAGAGGAATTGCTTTTAAATAGGATTTAGTTGAACTGTAAGCTTTCATGAGAGATAAAGCAACTAAATGCATTCTGAATTTTTCTACTTTCTGAAAAAACCCCAAACCATCACACATACTTTCTCAATGTTAAGAATCAAAATCTATTAACACAGCACATTAGATGAAAAGAATGAGTTACCTTTCCTGACAGAGGACCCACTGCTGGCCTCTTCCTCTGAGCATAACCAGAGACTCGGTAACAGTAGTGAGGTTTACAGTAGAATTTACCTGCAGATAAAACACAAATGTTGGTCAGCAACAGGAACACAGGAATTTAGCACAATATAAATGTCCATCTTACAGCAACTTATTTTCTGCTGTCCCTCCTGTTGCTCTCTCTAATTTCTTCACTATATGCAGAGGCAAACACTGGCTGAAGTTTTAGCCCCAGCCCTGCTCTCTCCCCTTGTAACTAGGCTCTTTTCCATTGGGTGCCTGATAGCCATTTAGTTTAAAATCCTATCAAACACCAAAGCAAAGCTGTGAGGCTTGTGTGGCATCACATGCTAACAATGCGGCAGTGTATGAGGAACAAAGAAATCATCACATGAAAAGCTGGCAGAAGCACTTTTGGAAAAAGCAAGAATGAATACAACCAGCAGAGGAAAGTGGGAGAGGACAGTGTTAACTCCCAAAGAACCATCTCTCAAAATGCACAGTGGCTACTTGTAAAAAGGACAATGACTCATTTTCACAAATAAGATCTTTTGTGATCCTGCTGCTTTTACTAACACCCCAGAAGTCTAGAGAGGTTTTTCACTGGTATCTGAGCACGGTCAGGAAGACAAAGCAGCATTAGCAATACCATCATGCAAATACTACTAGTACTAATAAAAGCAGCAAACTGATGCCTCATAATTATCTTCCACTGTACCTTTGTCAGTGTATCCTGTGTGGTATATCCAGCCCATAGCACTCTCCCCTGCTATCCCATTCCTAGAGCTTTGCCAATGCATTCCCAACACATATTCTGACCTCTGCCTCTTCCTCTAGTTTCTCTGTGCTGTTATTTGCAAAATGCTTTACGATGGAAAAGTGACAAACATCTTTCTAGAAATCTTTACTTCAATAAGTATTTCTTAATATTTACTCATACCAAAACCTGCCTTTTGAGATTGTCTGAAATAAACAACAACTGAAAAGCTCTTACATAAAAATTCTCAGCGTTTGAAGCCTAAAACCAGACACTGACTGCAGAAGGCTGCAGGATGCTTGTCAGCTTGAACAGCTAGATGAACAGCAACAATATGTGTATAGCGTTGGGTTTTTTCCTCTCAGAGAAAGTTCAGGATGAAATACAAACTACATTTTCACAATCATTATATTAGATAGCATACCATGGATTTCTGTTTAGCCACATCTGCTTCATATAGTTAGGCATGTAATATTTCAGAATAAATGCTATAAGCCTGCTGAAACTCCAAGCTTTGTGTTTGCTTCACTGAGAACTGTCTGGCCATATCTGCACACAGAAGCATGCTAGCAGAAGGAATCACTAAAAATCTGGTGGCAAAAACTGTTTCAGCCCATACAGCTGACAGAGGAGCTCAGTCTGTTACTGCTTAACAGACAGTCAGACATTCAGTTACTTGTGAGGGCTCAAAATAACAGCAGTGCTCAAAAAATGCTTTTCCCCAACTTCGATTTCTGACAAAGATGTTACTTTTATATGTTGATTTCAAAATGACCACTGGCCCCTTTAAACTTGCGTGCCAAGTCTGCTGACCTTCCAGACAAGTAATAAAGGGGTTTCTATTCCTTCTGGGAGTCTGGTTTGGCGATTCTAAGTTTCCTCAACTCTTCACAACCCAGCAAGTCCATTACTTAAAGTCATTATATAATGCATTATGAATACACAATTTTAGTTCTTTTTGTCCCTTAAACCAGATGGTGTTTCCACAGCCATTTTTCTACCCAGTATATATTGAAAGATTCTTCTTAGTTACACAGAATGGATAACCATCAATTTCAATCTGCAGTAGAATATCTTGGAATGTCATCCTGTGACATCAGTTTAAAATTTTTACTTAATCTTTGCCTCAATCAGCGGGAAAAATACCATCACTAACACTTTTTTCTTGTTTTTCTGTTTTCTACATCATTATGTCTGAAATAGAATCCTTTGCACCTTACTTGCCACTAGTTTTATACCATTTTGCACTTATTTTCCTACTGAGATTGGATTAAAGATAGGCAGCTGTGTGAGAAAATAAATGCATACCTGCTGATGTGAATCAGCATTTACCTGAAATACTTTCTCATACATTTCCTTCAGAAAATGTGATGTTTTTGCCAATCACTGCTCAAAGATTGTAAATACATAGTTACCCTTACAAGGAGATCACTTTTCACAAGTGATGATCTTAAATTATTATTTTCAATATGCACACTTTGTTGATAAACTGAGTTTCACCTGCTGACATATTGTCTGGTTTCTCAGACTTGTACATGTTCGATTATTTTAATTGAGACATCAGCAAGTTTTGTAATCATATTTTCTCCTTAGTCCATCAGATACAGAAAATAAGTCATTATTGAATTTTCAGAAACTACTGCAACAACACTCTCTAACACTGACTTAGCTCTACTGAACTTTAATGTTCCATGTTTTCTATATAAACAGAAGTTAGCTTTTAATGACCTATTATCACAGCCCCTGATTATGTAGTTCCTATTTTATTACATCAAACAATAAGCATACAGAGTTGGATAGTTGTGGTATCTTCAAGAAGAACAAGCTGACTGCATTTCTCTCCAGCTTGTTATTTTCTCTTAAGTGGTATTAAACACTCACGTGTTTTATTTAAATACTGTCGGATGAGGACAGTGAAAGGTTTAGCTCTCAAACACAGCCTGTAAAGCTTTTTAAAGCCTCCAGTCATTATTTGTTTACCCTGCTTTCTAGCAGCTGTTAATGATGCCCTAAGTTTTAGCTTTCATATTTTCCAGACTCTGTACTGCCTTAGTGTGCGACTCTGAACTTCACATACAGCGTTAGCAAGTTCTCACAGTTTAGTCAGAGAAAACAATCCTTTTCCAGCCTGAGAACCAAGGACACCGCTGCAGCTTTGGGCCCAAAAGTGTGAACAACAGTGACTTGAGAAGAGCAGTCTGGGAGAATGAGACTGCATAACCTGGAGCTGTACTTGGACAATGAACCCCAATATGGAAATGGACCAAAACTTATAAAAGTGTGAAAACTCATGACCCAGGGTCCATCTTGGGTGGAGCCATGGCTGGGCTATTGTACTGCCCAAGGTGTAACCTTAGAAGGCCTTTTAATAAATCCCTCCTTTATTCCTGTACCTCTGTCTAGCCTCTGCTCCAGGTAGCCTCTCTAGGCATCACTACGATGTTATATTAATTCCTATGAGCTCGGCTGCTCTGCCGCTGTAACTTGGCCATAGGAAATCCATGAAGCTCCAACAGCTTGAGAGATGGTGTCTGGGGAATGGAAGTTACCCTCTTCCCTAACTCACCAAATAATTTTTAAGCGACAACAGAGCTTCCAGGACAGTGAGGAGCCTCATGAGCAGAGGGCCATTTCCCTTACCGTCCTCGATGTCGTAGGCGTAGGAGGACAGGCGCAGGGTGGTGGCGCAGTACTCGCACTTGAAGCAGCTGCGGTGGAAGAACTTGCCCTCAGCACTGAGCCTCTCCATCACGTAGACCCGCTTGCGGCAGAAGTAGCACACGTCGCTGCCTCCCAGGTTCTGGGGGAATTCCTTCTTGAGCGAGCCCTGGACACAAACAGGGATGGCTGAATTTGTGTGCGCCCAGCCTCACCGAGATCACACACCAAGGTAATTTTTTCTCTTCATTTATGTGGATACGGGAGCACCTGGATGCTGCTGCTGCAGTTCTCAGACACAACTCATGGTTTTAACAAGTTCACCAAAAACTAACCTTGTTGTCCAGGAAAAAGGGTCTTAGGAAGCCATGCCTACATGTATCAGGAGTAAAACGAGCTCTAGGTAGATGAGTGGACACCAGTACTATTAATGATGACCCTGAAATCAGTGACTTAAGGAGGCATATGAAGAAAGGCAAAACCATTACAACATCCTCAAACAGTTCTTAGACATACATTACCAAAACCAGTGTCTCCTCCAGAAAACAGCAGTGCAGAAGTGTTATGAATAGTTTTCTTAATTTATTATGCCCAATCTTTGGATCCTGGCATTAGATTAAAATACTTGGCAAAGGAAATGAGGACAAGACTGAGGGTGGATGGAGAAAGGGAAACAATCTCTCACAAAGCTACGACAGATTCCATCAGTGGTATAACAACTGGACATTGACAAAACTTGAGATCTACATGAACATCTAAGCACAAACACACATCATCTCCAGCACATCATCTTACCAGTTCCTTCTTGTCTAGAAGGGTTTTGGGTGGCTCTTTCCTTTGAAGCTGATTGGCTATCTGCTCAGCCAATGAGCTCACTCCGCCTGTGTACATCTTTATGTACTTCTACCAGATGGGTTGAATAAAACAAGAGTGATGTGAGAAAAGAAAAGAAGAATCAAATTAAAAAAAAAAATAACTAGAATGATGAGAGGTTAGGTGGTGAAAAGGTGCAGAAAGGTCAAATCATGCCAAGACAGTGGACAATATAACGTGACAAGTAGTAATAGCAAAGCCAGTATCACAGAAATCACCAGTACAGTCCAGGATCACCTGTAGGAATGGACAGGAAGGCTTGCATTTTGCATTTTTTAAGTGTTCCAGAAACACTATGATGATGAAGGGAGTAGATCTTGTTTTCATCTGTGGGGTATTTTGTCCCTGGAAACTTGAGTAGAGACATTTCTAAAGGATGGGCTAAATATAGGTTAGATTTTTGGTTCCAGGTAAAATTGACATCAGAAACAAAGATCATTTAGAAGGCATGTTACCAAGTCTAATGCAACATGCTGATTTACAAAAGTATGTTTGTATACTTTGTACCTGGAAAGAATTAATTTACAGAGCATTCACAGAGCAGGGAGAAGTCCTTAACTAAGGAACTCACAGTGAGTCAAAAGTATTAATTCTTCCAGTGCTAAAAATACACAGAGATTTATATGGAAAAAGATGGAAGAGCCTTCATCCAATGCATTAAAGCCATACCTGCATACATCTGGAACACGTATTTGTTCAACCCTGAACACGGCTTTATGACTTGGCTTTTCTCCATCATAGGCATAGACTGAGTCCATAACTCTAGATATCTAAAAATCCTCTAGTATTTTCAGCAGTCTAGGCAAGTTGGCTGTTACCTTAGGTGGTACCAATGAGTGTCTGCAAGCCAAATTCAATCACAGCAGGAGCGGAGAAGTGTTTTTCACAGGAAACACAACCACTGGCAATAATTACATGGTTAAGAAAATGAGGTGGTTACATCCATGTTAGCTCAATCACACTGCAAACGCCATGGGATTCGACTCCAAGCAGCAAAGAGCACGCCAAGCAACTTCCTTTTTCCAGACTAAGCAGCATTATGAATGCTTCTAGCAGGATTCTTAGCTAATACAAGATCAGAGAGCCACTCAGCTTCTAGCAAGTGCAAAATGCCAAGGATAACAAGAGGAAAGTTGTATCTTAAAACCCCTTTCACTCATAGCAAAACTTGCTTGAAGCACAGCAGTTATTTCCCTCAACTAATAACCTTTAATAACCTAATAACCATTCCCTTTCAGGAATGTTTAAAATCTTCACAAGTTCAGACACGAGAACAGCAGGAAGCATCACAGAAACTGAAATTTATCACAATGGGTACTTCTTTGGGGAAAAAGATTATGAAAATTGAATGCTCAGCCAGAGATTACTGCTGCTGTCACTACAGTCCTAATTCCTTAAGCTGTCACTGAAGTAATGAGGGGAGGGTTTATTTCTACCCAGAAAGAATTTATACCTGTCTACTGATACCATTCCCAGAGATAGAACACTTGCAGTACTTCTACATGCAAGAAATAACAAATGATTTGTCTTTGAGTCTCCCAGGTTCCATGTGTTTCCAAGTTCCACATAAATATGTGCAGAGTTGCTTTTCAATGACATATATCTTGTCAAACATTACATTTAAAATGGTGCTCACTTCCAAAATTTTCTTAATCTTTGATTTTTAACTGGCAATCAAATAATTTGGCCAAGAGCTTTGTTTCCTCTGAGTGATCAGAGCTTTAGAGGCTTTTTGAGCTTTCTTAGAAGAGAGATTAAGCATTTCCAGGGGAAAAACTTGCTTTTAGCCAAGTCAGGTTTCCCTCGATCAAGTTTTGATTTGAAACCTTCAACTGTGGATCCTTCAGAATCATTAAATTTCTACCAGCACATAGGAAGTTCCATGCTAGAAAAATGAATATGTTAATATTAACTCACAGTACCTTGGACTATTTGTTGTGAGAAATTTATTTGCTGAATTTTTAATTTGGGGTTGTGTGTTTCTGATTTGTTTTGCTTTTTGCCTACATATCACATCTGGCCTAATTAAGAGTATTGAGTGAAGCATTTTATCTTTCTTTCCATAGTCTTCAGGACATACAGTGTTCTGCAATATTTTCAAAAGAAGGCAAAGAACCTGCTCCAGCTGAGGTCAAATCAAGTTCCTGCTGTTTACGTAGGACAACTGTAACTAGTTCAAATTCTCAATGATTTTTCAAAAAGCCAAAGCACTTTTTATTCCACACTGTCCATTAACCAATTATGTACAAACACATTCTGTTGTTTAGCCCAAAACTTCAACAAAAGCAGCAAGCAAAACCAGAAAGCTTCACTGCAAAGCCAGAAGGACTACCAGTGCTCAAAACCCCTGGTTTGAGTGCGAGGTGCACCACAAACTTCTCACGGACATAGCGTGTTAAAAACATTTATTTTCAAACCGCTTTATGGCTGGCAACACCCGAGCTGTGCCAGGCACAGGCTGCCTCTGCCTTCTTTGTGCACGGATAAGCACAGAGGCTCTTCAGGTGAAGCAGTGCCAGCCTGGCTGTGTCCCGTGGGTGTCCTTGGCAAGCAAAGGCAGCTGAGTGCACCTGGAGTGCTCAGGTGAGGGCTACCTGTCGGAGGGAGTCGGAGGAGGGTGAGGAAGGGCGGTTGGAAGAGCGGAGGCTAAGGGAGAGCTCCCACTGGTCAACAAAGAATCGGCGAGACGGCTCCGTCTCAGGCTAAAACATAAAATAAACATCAACACAATCATACATGTTCTCTTCTAAGAGGGGAAAAAAAAACAAACCACCCAGCCCAGGCCTTTCTGGCTACCATCAAGAATAATTTTTTAAGGACTCTTACAGGAAAACTTTGAGAAAAATACCCAGTGTATCTTTACTTTCTCCCTAGCGAGGCAGAGTAGTTATTCTAAATTTGCTCTTTATTAGGTTTTACATTATTTAGGACCATTTGGAAGCAGTTACCTACTTCCACAGATGTCCAACCTCTTGTAACCCAACCAAGCCACTGGCAAAGACCCCAAATCAATTTCCTCTGCTCCTTCTCTATCTCCCATTGTTCTCTATTACTGGCCCAAGGCACTAAGATCATCTTTCAGGTCATGTGAGACCTCTTCTACATTTTAACTATATAAACCAAAAGTCTGCTCTCCTGGGGGACAGAAGAGAAAGAAGTTCGCTTGTATGTATTTCCAGTCATTAACAGCAAATTTCCAACCTAAGATTTACTGTAAACAGATTAGAAACACTGAACAAAAGAAGAATGTATCAATACAAAATAATCTTATCAATTATCAAATAATAAATCGGAGACTGAGAATCTGCATCCTTCTGAAACTGGTTCCTCACAGGAACCCAAAATTTGGTCTTCTAATATGTTCCTGTCATTATCTCTACAGATGATTATGCCCATCTCCCAATAAATACTTCATATTAATAGGAAAAAATGTTGGAAATATCAGACAAACAGCACTGGAAGAAACTTTGCATTCCTAAAAATTATAGTCTGGAAAGAAAAAAATATATGCACATTAGAAATAACTGGCTTTCTTTGAAAAATAAATTATGGTCTTCGTTATACAAAGGAAAACTAAATGTCATGTAACTGCATGACCCATGAAAATAGCTACTTCTAGCCACTTGGAATAGGCTAACCTCAAGATTAAATTTACTGAGCAAAATGCAAAAGAGCTTGGCTTTCACAATTTCCCCAATTTATGGAAATATACTTGTTCATACAAGACTTTTCTGTACATCAACATTTAATCAAGTTTCTTCTCTGAAAATGTCCTTACTTTGCTAAGCCTTCTCTCTCAGTATTTTTCTTGTTTTCTTCCCTTAAATCCCACATCATAATCCATCATTGCTTGCAGTGTTCCAACATCTGTTTCCTTTTTCCTCTCTGCCCTACCCACTTTATGCTTTCCTCTACTTTGTGTTCTCAGTTTCTCCTCCTTTTCAATCCTGCACGATACAGAAATTAGACAATTTCAAAAATAATTTCTATCTTTGCATCTCCATGTTCAGAAAGAGCTTAAAAATTGCCAGAGAGCACTACAAAAGTCAGGAACATAGTATTTTGGTCTAGATCTTCATTTCTGTGTCATCATTTTAAATGAATAAGGAAATGCACATGAGCATTGTGGACCTTGTTTGAGATAAAAAGTAATGGAACCCATTAACAAAGATGTGCCGTTAACGTTTAAAGTGGTCTTCTTATTCAGGCCTTCATAGCTAAAATTTCAAATATAGCCAAAGGTTTGCTTTTCCTTCTTGAAGAACACCTTTTGTGATTTTAGCCATCAGAAAAAGATGGCATCCCAAAAAACCCAGCAATGTGAAGCAACCTAGATGTCAGTAAATTCCGTTTAGTAGGGCTTGCAAAAGTTATGTCCACCAGCAAAAGTTCTGGGACTGTTTAAGCTCCAGCTCAAGAAGACAGCTTGATTTGGGGTGGTTAACTCAAAACAGTTATGAAAAAAATAACTTCTGTAGATGGTGCTTTCCAAAAAAGCACTCTGCAGTTTGCCAAGCACTGCTGAAGATAACTGAAAACAGAAAGCAACCAAAGAAACCACAATTCAAACTGGCATGCTCCCATAGCCCAAAGACAACAGACTGGGGAGAAAATCAGGCACAAAAACAAAACAAAACAAAAGTGCACACTGGAATCAAAGACAATCTGCACAAACTGCCAGCTCTACCATTGGAAACAACTGCACAGGAAGGATGGACACAAGGGTAGTACTACAGAGCCAGGAATTAAGCTTGGAAAATGTGAATATTCTTGCTTCCAGAAGCAAGTAAAATTTGCAAGTGACTGACTGCTAAATGGCCTCTGTGAGATGACTTGATCCAGAGCCCAGCTGGTTTTCAGCATTTATTCTGAAGTTTAGTGGCTGCTTTTTACTTCATTGTTTATATTCTGTTTTGAGGAACAGAAACGGTCACTCACCAAACAAGGAGACAGCTAAGAAATGGCAAGTCAAATAAAGACACTATAAATAGAGACAAAAATAGTCTTGACGGCTGTCTTAACCACATGACAGTAGAGCAGTGGTCATCATATTTTGGTGATTTTTTTTTTCTCTCTGCCCCAATATTTCACCTGTACCCAGAATCCCACACTGCTCCAGGACACCAGATAGGCAGGGCTGTAGTCACCTGATGCCTCAGTGCACGTCTGGACTCCAGGAGGGCAGCCAGCTGACATGCCCTTTGCTCAATACTCATGGGCACTTGGTCATGAGAAAACAAACGAGGAGATCTCTGCGAGACGAGGAAGGAGGCAGGATGTAAACAAACCAGCACAAAAAGGAAGAGACACCAGAATGCCAGCCAAAAGGTACGACATCACATGCACAACATTAACAAAAGCTCTCATGTGAAAACTGGGGATTTTTTTCCCCAGTATGCAGCTTTTCTAAAGAAGTGCTACATTTTGACCCTAAGGGGCAAGAAAAAAAGGTTAAATTAATTTTTATTCACAACTCTTCCTAGGACTGCTGCAGCCAAAATCAAACAAGCACATAGCCTTTCCCTCTGGCATTACCATCAAAAAATACGTTTAAAATGTGGTTTTATAAATGCACAAAGGGCCTTATTTGTCAGTTTATTTCCCCATAGTTCTGCATTCTCAAGGATTTCCTTTAAAGATCTCAACTTGTACCTATTTGTTTCTTAGATTTTGTGTACAGAAACATTTTAGGCTAATGTATTTCAGTTCAATTAATTTCTTAAAGATGGTGGTATATGCAAAGTAAATACATGCCAAAGAGAGCATGTTTAATGAGCCTGTCTAAATAAAACAAAGAACAGCAAAATCAAACACTCACAGAAGCTGCTAGTTTTACTTATGCAACTTCACTGTCCTACTTGTTCTTATTGCACTATCATGGCAATATATCCCAGGCACAATATTTGACACCTCTGCTATTCTAGTCTTTCATATCAATGCAACTAAACTGTTGTGTTTAGGTGACATGAACACTTGGTGACATGAAAAAAGACCTGGCAGGTGGCCTGCTATGTAAGTCAGGACTATTACTGCAGTATAACACACCCTTCAGCTAATTTGTTTTTGGAGTACAAAAGTAAATGGACAGGAACAACAAACATGTGCATCAAGGAATCTGAGGCTCGATCTGTCAAGAATGCCAGGGTGCTGCTCTGTATTACTAATTGTCCTCCAATGCAGAACAGAAAATTGGGTTCACACCCAGTTTACAGGAAACACTTTTCCCATTCAGATGCTTTAATAATACTCTCTACTTTCAAGCTGCTTTCTGTTCCACCTACTCCTTCCTACTAGATCATTGTCACTAAAACTGGGGCCTGTTATGAAGCTGTGGGCTTCTGTGTCACTGCAGACACGTGTATTCATTTTCTACTGCCTGTCAGAAAACATTCAGCCCACAAGAGGCTTTTGTTAGAACACATTCTGGAAGTTGCAACAGTTTTATTGCTGGGTCTCATTTATGACTTAATTCATTCAAAGCCTGTACTGGAATGTCAATTAATTTGTCAATATGAATTCAAATCAACCGGTCCTTTTGAGTGCCTATCTTTTATTTTCCCATGCTTCTGTGTAATACTGAGCCATTCAGACAGACTGTTGAATATTTCATTGTTAAGAAGGCTTCAAAGTCTCTATACTAAATAATGCCTCATCATTTTTCCTTTTACTTTGGCCTGTAGGAGGCAAGATGGAATGCCAGTTGTTTAACCATCCAGAAAGCAAGCGGTGAACACAATGCAACCATGTTCGCATCAATTAGCACAAAACATAACTCTTCTTGTTCTGCTACAGCCACAGCATACTTCACTAAAGAGGTGTAAGAGACAAAGAATGGGAAGAGCTCAAGTGCTTGACCTAGGACAAAATAAAAGCATATAGCAAACTGCTGCTGAAGGCTTATTATGCACTTATGTGGGTGTCACACAGGAAGGATCGCTCCTGACTGACTGTCAGCAGTTCCAGCGTGTTAACAGCAGCATTAGGATAAGTGTGCTTCACCACCCCCTGTATTTGACCTCTGTACTGCACACATCCACCACAGCTTTGTGTCATCAGCATCCATGCCATTTGTTCATGCTTTTTTACCCTTTCCTGTCTGGACCTCTGCTCCCCGGGACAGCCAGCACCAGGTTCCCTGAATCTCTGCAGGCAACAAATGATGAGCTTAAAAACAATCACAGACCAACTTCCTAATCAGAACACACTTTAGCTGATTTTGCTTATGATGCAGGCATAAAAGAAGCTACAACCAGAGCAGAAGTTTATTAAGGATATTCTAAACCTCACAATAACCAGCTGGCTCCTGTAGAGAATTTTTTTTTTGAAGTCTATATCCATTTTAGGGCTATAAACAAAAACATAGTACCACAATGTAATCAAATTAGTGCAATAAAGATGTAAGACACTCTGTATAACTCATACTGTGATGTTAGTTCAGAGGAAGGAGATGAAAAGTTTAAAAGAAGTGGCAGAATAAATGCAGTAGAAGAGTAGAATTAAAGGTTTTAAAAGACATCAGTGTAACATGGATACAGAGCCCTCTGACTTGCTATGAGGCCTGGGCCAAGACAATTACAGGGGAAAAAAAATCATTCCTAAGGAAAAAGAATGCCTCTAAAAGCAGATTACTCTGAGTCTAACACGAGTTCTGTAGGACAGAAGGTAAAAATTCCCGAGTTGGAAGAAGGAAGTCTTCTATAAAACACAACATAGAAAATGGTCAAAATACACTTGCCAGTAGCTGGCTTTCATGACTGAACTAGGCAACCAAAAAGACACAGGACAAACAAACACTTGGAGAGGTGACAGAAGGAAAACAGAGCTACAAGATCCTCAGTGAGTTAAAACAAATTTCTCTACATGGAAAATGAATCTCAAATTATAGATCAGAAGGTAAAACTCAGCATTTAACTGCCTTAGTTTTTCCATCTGTAAGGTTGGAGAAAAGCTTTCTTCTTTCATAAAATGTATCCGACAAAATTTTCAGAGGATTTTGACAGGAGGATGGCAGCTAGCTATCACATCATCTGATAACATTACACTGCATTTGAAATGTAGGCTTTGCTCATGAAAAGGGCTTTCCTCACCCATTCTACCTAGATGTCCTCTCCTGTATCCTTCTTGAAAAGGCTGCTGTTCACAACGTGGCAGAAAACCAACCCCGTTTTTTGTTAGGACAGTTTCAAATGGGATCAGTAGGCAGAACTGATCTATTTTGCAAATGCACACACCACAGAGGCAGCAAAGAATGTGTGTCCTGGAGGCTGCCAGTAATTAGACCAGATAAACTGCAACATGTAATTAAAATTCAAGAAATCACAGCAATAAGGCAAGTCAAACTTTCTGCCAAAGAATAAAAACTTGTCTTACTCTGCTAAAAGGTAATGCTTCTTTACAGTTTATAGGCTCAAGAGCTCAGCAAAGACAGCTCAGCTTCACCCCTGGGGAAATTAATTTGTGCAATCCTTACAGGATGTCATGACAGCTCTATGGAACTGCAACTGCCTTTTCAGGACCTCTAGTTCAGGATTGCTCAAGAAGTGGATTTGAAAGTAGGAAAACGAAACAAATAACTTTAAAAGATACAACTTAAAGAAGCACAATGACAATATACAAGAGGACAGAAATAATATAAGTATTTCAGGTAATATATAACCAGGACAACAAATACATGTGCACAAACATCTGAATGCACATTTATACAGTGAGCTCAGAACAGCTCTCACTGCTCCAGGTTAAAGACAGACTGAGATGAGAGTCTGGTGTGGGAGAAACGGAAGGACCACAGTGACATGTGAAGACCACTACAAAACTTAGATAAGCAATCCTAAAAAAATTTCATGGGTACATGAGCAACTTTTCAGTCACACCTATTTAAATGGAGAGTGGAGATGGAACAAAGTTTAATTTTCTTTCCCTGCATTACTCCAAACATTTAATTTCTACTTTGCTGCATCTCAAAACTGTGAAAGGGCACTGTGATAAAATATCTGCCTACAGCAAAATCTCAGTCTCCAGTGGAGACTCTCCATGCTTCCAGTGAGTTAATGCTGCCCTATCTTCCTAACCTAAGAGTTTGAGAAACCTCCATCAGCACCTGAAAGAAAACTGGAAATGTATTTGTAAATAAGCTGTTTGGTAACTGAGCTAGTCACTTGTACAAGCAGCAATGAAGAGAAAGGGACAGAGCATGCAGAGGGAATCACCTGCTGCCTGGGATATGATGGAGAGGAAGATGGAGTGGAAGAAGTGAGCATGATCACTTTTTTGGGGCAGGTCCGAGAACGCTCCTTATGCCTCATCTTTTTTTTAAAACAGAAAAAGAAAAACAAATCATAATAATGGTAGAAAATGGTAGAAAAGAAGTAACATTACCAGTGAGACAGGCCATATTGCATGAACTGAGACCATGATCCTAAGCTCACACATCTCTCAGCTTTAGGTACACTGTGGCTTTAGCTAATTTGAGAGACCCAAGTTTTTACCCAGAGCCACACAATCACATTTGACAGTCAGTGAACACAGTTTTGTATCAATGAGCAATTAAACCAACAGCTTTTGAGTCAAGGTCTTATAATCAGTTAAAGGCAAAACTTGGAACTCTCCACAGCACAATTGGTCTGCTCTCTTCACTTCATGAAAAATTACTTATTGCTATGCCTTAAAATGCTTAAAAATATCCATCCTGCTGACCTAACTACTCTTGCTTGCAGCTCATTATTAATACAATTCAAGTCTCAGTGTTCTGCTCCCAGCTTCAGATCCTTCCTCTCTAACTTATAGACATTACACCATCTCAGGCAAGCTAAACTGTACATTCTATTAGAACAGAAATCCAGCTGGTTTGTAGATAAAATGGAGCTGTATTTAATAGTCTGCTTATTACACAATGCACATACATGTCCACAGTATAATACACCAGAAAACATGTCCTTCTAGTGCTGTACTCCTTGTTACGTACAGTCTTTTCTCCACCATTTCTTGTTTATTAATAAGCCTTCTGCCTGATTTTTCCTTTCCTTTTGAGCTCTCACCAGAGCATATCTGAAAATTGTTGCACTGGGAAAAAACAAAATGCTGTGTACCCAAAGCCAGTGTTAGATAAATCTCTAAAAAACTGCACATGGTATAGAGATATTACAGATGTTTATTACTGCCCTTGCAGATGAGCTGGTACTAACATCTGTTTGGGTGCTCTCTTCCTTTTCAACAAAACAGTTAGATAAATAATACACTCCTCTATCTCTAACAGATGCTAAAAGCAGCTTAAACTGAAGCATATGACTTTGCACTGCAGTGGATGAGGAACATTTATATGTTTCAAAAGGCTTAGCTATGAAGTCACTAATTTCTAACTGAAAGCATGGCAACATTCTCAACCACAGAGCTGCTCGTGGATTTTCATCTGTCCATGGCCAAGTTTACATCTCAAGTGTCAAAATTTTCACAAACTTGCTTATTTTTCCACAGCAAATCTCAAAATATAATATTAGATGAATGCATGAAGAATGTCTTCCATCAGTCAGTCCTCCAGTAGAATGCATTTCTGAGTTAGCAAAGACAAGGATGACCATAGGAAAGCAGAAAACAATTAACATATTTAAATAAAAAATTAAAGGTAAAAAAGCAGTATTTGCAGAAGTCATTGGTGTTTAAGTTCTCTCCTGTTGAGGTTTCAGCTCTTGCTGTCTGTGGCCATCTCAGTCATCACTTATCTTCAACAGACACAATCCCAACAAAATCACTGCAAAGTTTGCACTACTGCCCTTTGTCACACTTTAGGGAATGGTCTCAAAAGAATAAGCAGCAGATGTCCAGAGGCAGAAAAGATGTGCACCAAAACACGTGGGATCTCCATATTACAAGTATCTTTGTACACATCAAACATGATTTAAACTTATGTATTACATGCAAAAGCTGTTGCTGACAGGAGACCTATGGAACAATAGAAGACTGCTGACGGCTACAAGATGAGGGTCTGGAAATCCAGGGCAAAATTCAATTTAAAAGGCTTGTCTCCATGCCCAGTCAGATCATCTTCTGGATAGACCATATGGCTTTCAATGGCTTCCTGATCCTGGATGAGATGCTCTTTCCCAAAAGCAGCCAAAATGCTGCTCTATGCTCAGAAGGCATAGAGCACATGATGGAAGATGTTCTTACACAAGCAGGCATTCATCTGAGATTAACCACCACACCATGAAACACAATCCAGCCTTTTTAGGTGATATTTCCATCGTATTAAAAAAATTACATTTCCACTGTGCACATTCACTTCACAATATCTTCATGCATCATTAGATGCTGTTGTGGTGCTCATAAGAACACAAAACCAATTTTGACAACACAGGTCAACATCCTCAAAGCGTAACTCAATAAACTCAACTTTATAATCCAATTCAGAAGGGATGCAGGCCACACAGAATGCTGTGAGGAGCAGATTGGTGAGGTTTTTAACCCCTTTGCTCTTAGGAAGGTATTGCCTTTCCAAGATAGACAGCATTAAAGGTCTTGTGATGACAGTAAAAACTGCTTCAGAACAGATTCTGCCAGGATTTCACTCTTTCTAGGAATTCTCTTTTAACAAGCCACCTCTACCCCACCTATACAACACACAGAGGTATCCTGCCTTAGAAGCTTAAGGAAATTGCTCGCCTAATATGTTAATTCAAGGGTAAAGCAAGAATCAAGATTTAAACTGGTAAGCAACTACAGCTAAGGCTCTCCATCTGACAGACACCAGCAGGCAATACCCCAAGGCAGATGCCAATTTCTCACCAGAACTGTGGGTCCAACCCAGACCACTTCCTTTGCATTCTCTTCCTTGCAACCACTCTTATGCTTTTACAATATACTTTCCTCTTCCATGCAGTTTCCAAAAGGCAGGAAGACCAAAACCTGTCAGTCATATAACTGCCTTTCTCCCAAAGACAGGATCTCAGCCTCATTTTGCCAGCTTCTAAGAACAAGGCAACCTGTGGTTTCAACTCAGTAACACCCCCACCACCTTTTTTTTACTTCAGAGCTGCTTTTCTCCTCTTCAAAGCACTCTCCACTAGAAGGTCATTGCTATGTGACATATTCAGTCAGCAGAAGTTTCTGCTCATGAACTTCAATCCTTTTACCAAAAGAAATCTTTCCAAAAGCTTCATGAGCAGCTCTTTCTAGCCAACATATATCATCCCTAAAGAGCTTGTCAGAAGGAATAGTAATCCTTTACAGCATTGTGCAGTGATAAAGTTCTGGAATGGCCTGCCTGGGGAGGTGGTGGAGTCACCATCCCTGGATGTGTTTAAAGAAAGAGTAGATGCGGCACTCGGTGCCATGGTCTAGCTGAGATGTTAAGGCATGGGCTGGACTTGAACTTGAAGGTCTCTTCCAACCTGGTCATTCTGTGATTCAGTGACAGGTCCTGGTATTCAGCAGCACTTCTCTGCTGCCAGTCTGTCACCCAGGGATGAGCTATAAACCCAGAGTGACCAATGTCACCACAGAAGGCCAGTCCAGCACCATCAAAAGGTGCAGCCTCACAGCTATAAGGTTCTGCCTGCCAAAGCAACCAGAACCAGAAATCTCAGCAGCCAGCCAAAGTACTGCTCCAGCAACAACTTCCTGCAGTAGGGGTTTTCTGTCCAGGCTTGGCAAAGTTGGCTGCTTGGCTCAGTGGTCTCAGCTGTTCTCTGTTCAGTCAAGAATAAATGGCTCAGTGCACCTCCATGGCTTTTGAATAAAGGTAACCCATATTCTTCCCTTCCTCAGGCACACAGCAAGGAACCTTTGGAACAGGGAACCTATCATGGGGTTTTGATCGTTCTGTGTCCTGCAGATTTTGTATCCTTGAGACCCAGTTTTACACTTCTTCATTACAGAAGCACTGCAAATCCTGCAAGACATCTGGACCCAGGAATCAATCTTCTGTTGATGCAGTAGAGCCAGTCAATAAAGATCATCTCTATGTGCAAAATTGAAAAGGAAATCATCCATATAAGGCAATCACTGCCAATATTGGAAAAATAATTCAAATCCTCTGAAAGTAAAACTGTTGCAGAAAGATTTTTCAAAGACATGCCCTACACTGCTTCCTATACAGAGATCAAGGAAGAGCAGAAGGATTTTTTCTTCCTTTTTAAAAATTTCTTTTAAATTGTGTAGTTCAGGTATAAACAAGAACAAAAAACTGATCTCTGGTGAGAAAAATCCTCTATAAAAACAGAAAATAAAACTTTGTCCTTTTTTTTCTGTAAATGACAAAAGAATGACAATAAGAACTTTTGTATTTCATTATAAAGGCTTATCTATAAAGCCTTCATAAATTTTCAGTAACAGGTTCAAATAGAAATCTCAAGGGTGCAGGAATGTGGCATTTTCCAAGTGCTAAAACAGAGAGAGACAGCCAATGCAATCCAGTTTTCCTTTTTCCAGGAGGTAATATAAGCAGTGCTCATCAATTCACTTAATATTGTACAGCGTTTTTGCTTCAGGTTTTTTTTAATAAGTATTCTTGAGAAATAAATTTTGCCTTAATCATGAGTGATGTGAATCCATCTCAAAATGCTCATAAGCCTATAAAGAAGATTTTGATGAGACAAAAGGAAGAACAAACACTGAGTCAGGAAATCAAAGTATGTTGACAATAACTCCCCTAGGCTTAGGTCTTCTTTCTTGAAGAGAAATCTTCTTGATCAGGGCGCCAGTCATTACATGCAGCATTAATTGTGCTGAATGCCTCAGACATGAAGATCACCATGAATCCATATTTATCAAGAACAGTGAATTTCCAAGCTGTATCATCTTCTTCCTCTTGACTCTGAAGTATGCTCTGATTAAACTACAGCCAGAGAAAAGTAGATGTCTCTCCAAATTATGGCTGTCAGCAAAATACCTCTGAGCACTCTCAGAAACATGAGGAGGCCATTTGCACAGGGAAACAGTGGAAGCAGATGAAACCAGTGAGGTAAGTATCCTTAAATGCCTGAAAAGATCACCTATCAGAAGCCTTAGTTTTGGAAAGTGCATGGCTGAAAGAAAAACAGCAGCAATGACAATGGCCCAAAACATTGGAGAGAAAATAAAATTTGATACCTGCTGATTTTTCTGCTGTTGGTCCCTATTTTGTGGAAGAAAACCTAAAATGTACTGAATTCACAGTAACACAGGAGTCTGCAAAGCAACAAGTGTGAGAAGCTGGCAAGGAAAGCTCCATTAAAGAAAGGGAAGCCACAGGAAAGTCTCCTGCAACTACAGAACACCTAAGATTTCACACAAGAATAGCAAAACAGATAACCAATTTTACTATTTATGTCAAGGAAGAGCTTTAATATCATAGATGATAGGATATCTTTACCTCATGAGTTTCCATAATTGCTTACATTGCTTATTTCTAACAGAAGGATCTAGAAATTCTACGGCAAAAATTTCTGCTGCAACATCCATGAAAGTCTTGGTAAGTTGAAGCTAGCATAAGGAGGCAGGGAAAATTTTATTAAATATTTTTGAAACATTAAACCATTCATCATCACCAAAGGGAGATTGTTGACTTTATTCGCTGGAAGATATTTAAAATAACAGACTCGGACAAGGTGCTGGAAAAGGACTGGCTTAAAAACACAACAGTGATAGCTGGTGTTGGGTGAGGAAATGCACTGTAGTCAGAATGAGTTTCTTTACCTGTTTCCACTGGGGTATGGGAGCAAGCCGGCCTTGCTCTCGTCTGCTGGATGGCTGGTTGTGGACACGCTCTTGGTAAGGCAGGACAGGTTGCTGCATGCAGGTTGTAGGGAAGGTGGGACCACGGAGGAAAGATAAAATAGTGAAGGAAACTCAAAGAAAGCCGTAGGAATGGAATACAGAATAAGACAGACAAACATTTAAGAAAAAAAAAAAATAGGGTAGGGGGGAATTCATTTAGCAAGTAAAATATAAAAAGGAAAAAAACATCCAAAAATGGGAAACTTCACATATTTTTGGACCTTTCATTTCATTGTTTCTTCAAATCATTGGCTGAGTATGCCAGCCAATGTGCAGCAGTTGAAGAAACATTTTATCGTGTGGGTAGACATGGCCATTCTGATTATGTTACACTAATAATGCTGTTATGTAGTGTGGCAGAGACAAACTTGACCTGGCTTTCTAGCAGCCAGGTCAGGTCCCACTCACAATGTGGCCATGGCACAGAGCTTGGCACAAGCTGTGGAGATGGACTTATGCAGCAGAGCAAGGACTCTGGCACTTGAACCACACCGAGCCTCATCCTGCTGACACTGCACTGCCAGCAGCAGCTTGAAATGACTCAATCTAACTTCAAAGACAACTCCTGCAGTTGCAGCAGTTCAGATACCATCCCAGAGAACAAATGAGCCTCACTTGGAATGACACAAATACCCTGATTGCCAAGAAACTCCCAGGCATTCATCTGCTGCACATACACACACGAACAAAGCTTAATCACAATTCAGAAGAACAGACAGATGTAACCTGATAGGAAAATTTTCAAATCAGAAATCAAATGGTTGTACTGAAACAGCATAAGCAGAACATTCCTGGAAAGCTTTTAAAGAGCAATAGTAGTTATAAAATAAACTTCTCCACCCTGTACTTGTAAATTCTACGCTTTGGGTAAACTGCACTTTTTGTTAGGAGAACCTTTGAAGCAGAAAAGCAACACTAGCATCCAGTCTTGAGGAATGCATGCTATCATTCATGGCTTTCCTCTACAATTCCAAAACAAAGGGGTTTATTATCGATCTCCTACCTGTCTTCGTAAGTTAGAGGACGGCACTGGTGCATTCTCTTCAAACTTGGCCAGCAGCTGGGTTGCCATGGACTTGACTTTGTTCTGATTCCCAATGGCAGCATCAATTCTCCTCTCTGTCAGGGCACTCACTAATGTGGGCCTTTCTTCTCTGTAGCTTCGTGGGAGGTCCTCCTGACAATCAGTGACATCAAAATTTAACAAGATACAACCAGATCACCTTTTCCTTTCTATCCCTGTGGTGTGAAAAGTCTCTTAAGCTATAGATAACAAATCTCTTAGCCTCACTTGAAAGCACAGATTTTAATTTCCTTTGGCAAGTCATTAAATGTTCTGTTAAACTTTACTGATCTTTTCAATCTTATTTGATACTTACCAAAAAGACCTCAGCTGAAACACTCCTGTGAAGCCCTTTACATAAACCAAAGGCTCATCTTCAAACAACAAACCCAAAGCACTGCATTTTAATTCAGCTGTACCCATTTGGCTACAAACATTGAATTTGAAAGACTGCCTTATGGGCATACTGGAAAATATATACTTTTGCACAAATCGAGGTTAAAGTTTAAATATGCATCAAGCTTCTAAAAATACCGCACAACTTTTCTGAGAAGTTTTGAGTGCTGATGTCTTCATCAAAACATAGTAATTTGCAATGAAAAGAGAACATCAGGGAACTGCAACATTTCATTTGTTATGTAGTAATCTTTCATAATCATTAGTAAAATATTTGCACTAAAGATACCATGAAAGTGTAACCCCTGAAGAATAATTAAATTTTATCTAAAATATCCTATATAATCCTTGCCTGGATATTAAAAAAATGAAAAACTGAAGTGGGGAAAAAGGTACCTACCATTTATTTTGCTCCCTGACACAGCTCACTGTAATACTTACATCCTCAGATTGGCTGGTTTTTCTCCTCTTTCCTGCACCATCCAGTTCCTTTTCTTTTTTGTCCTGAAAACAGAAGGAGCAGGGGAGAGAAAACAAAAATAACTCTCATACCTCTCTGGGCTGAGATAAATGTCATCAGTGCTCTTCCATGCTTATTCTCCATTTGTTTATGAAAGAGATTTTTCCTATATAATCCTTAGGGGATTGTTACCTTCAATTGGACAATTCTTCAATGCTTTCAAATCATCAAAAACTGTGCAAGTAGCTATGTTCCAAGAGAAAATATATGCCCAAATACTACCATAAGGTTAAGCTTTTAAGACTGAAATACACCACTGAGAGTACATACTACAGATGTATTTTTGCAGTCATAAATGTCATCTGTTGTCCCATACCAAGAGCTGGTGAAGACATGGTCTCTTGCAAACTGACCATGCTAACAAACACCAACATCTGCATTTTTAGTTCCATGCTTGGACAGCAGCCTGCCAGACCCAAGTGTTCCCAGGGCTGTGCCTGGTTACCTTGGGAGTGCGCTTCCGAGAGATGCTTTGTCCCAGTTTGCTGAGGAAGGAGATGGGAGACTTGGTACTGGCAATCAGGGCAGCCTTTTCTTCTGCATTCAGCTCCAGGCTATCTGCTAGTGACAACAGGCAGAAGAAGGGAATGCCATGAAGTTTTTTTCTGTGGTGCTGGTATTAAATACTCAGCTGAGGGACTCAGTGATTCTTTTTAGTGTAGTGTCTTTTTCTTAAATTCTCTGTACAAAATGACTAACATCTAGAATTAATGCCTTTCTCAGCTATTCTGCTTTTTCATTTTGCCCAAAGCAGTTCTTTCAGGATTTATAACCACCCATAAAAGAAGCTGTGTTTACTCTATTTACTTTTACATTTAAAGAGCTGATTTAAAGAACATGGACATCAGTATCCTTAAAACCAGTCCAAAGTTTTAGAACTAATACGTGATACATACTATATATTTAAAAGGCTATTAAATCCAATTTTTTCCCCTCACCAGAGATACATGTGAATTAAGATCATCAGTAATACAGAACTGTAACAACATTATCAATATTTAAAGGCTGGCCATATTGATTTGGGTTAGGTAATTATATCTTTCAGTTCTGATCAAAGATGTTTTGTTCCTCAGTGGCTTGAAGTTAGTCTCACCATTCACAGATGACAAACGGGTATAAAACTCAGCTTGTGTTTTGAAACTACCTGTTCAACAGCTACTAGCAAGGCACCTAACATTTGCTAAGACAAACAATAGTAAGAAAGCAGAAAACTTATCCAGCAGTAGTGAAGTGAGTTTAGAACTTTTGAGGACATTATTGTATATTAACTCCTTATTTTGCTCCTGCTGCTGCTAACATGGTCTTTATCAGCACCAGTAACAAGTCAGCATTGTGTATTGTAAAGCTATAGTGAGTAATTATTCAATGTGCTCATGCAGAAGCAGCATGACAGTAACTGACACACACACATTCACCCTTGGAGAAGTCTTTAAATCCCACAGAAGTGCCCCAAAATGCTTACCACTAGAGGGGATGGTGTCTTTGAACATCTCATAGAACTGTGTGAGGTACATCACCATCGACAGCTTATCTGGCTCTCCAACAGATGCCATTTCCTTTCCAGTCATGATGGGAGATATCCCAAACTCTTTCTCAGCAATGTCAAAGGCCAGTTGGTTATTCTTCTCCACATCATGCTCATCCAAGGAATCAAAGTCTCTGCAGAGGGCAAGAAGAGGCCTTGCACTGAATCAAGTAGAAACCAGTCTTCTGAAAGAACTTGGATATCCATCTTTTTTTTTCCCCTTGAAATGTTAATTTTATTTGCCACCAACCTGACAAAGTTGATGCTACTTAACTACAGCAAACTTTGGCTCAAATATATTATTTTAAAATTTGTTTGCTCCTCCTAAACATCTAGACTTTTCTTCTTAAAAAGCATTATCCTCTGAAATACATCTCCACTTCCTCCTTTACTGGAAGACTACATTTTCCCTTACATAAAATCTTCCATGTTCTTGGAACTAAATTAAATCTTGACTTTTTGTCCTCTTTTCTCCTGATTGATCCATGTTTTTGTCCTGCTGGCTTTTTCCAAAACTTGTATAACTATATAAAAAGCTATAGCTTGTAGAGAGTTACATGAACCACTTCAAAAGCTGTTTGACCTCTCCACAAGCTATAAAGCTATTAAACAGTGTAGTTCAGGTTAACTCAAGTACACCAATAAAGAAGTAATTCAGTGCATATGGATTGGAATAACTCCACAAATTTTCAGTATGTTTTAGAGTGGATTATGTCTTCAAGTACAGCTCTAGAATTTACTTTTTCTGATGTCCCTTTGGGAAGTTGGAGACATTTCAGATTAAAGTACCAGAGTATTTGCTATCATCACTTTTTCCAGACAGTGTTTCCCATTCTAGAATCTGGGCACTGTTTTACCCAATACATCTCTTTAGAGGACACCTCTACTATTCACCCAACCACCAAGTCAGTGTGCAAACAGTAACAACCTCTTTATTTAGGCTGTGGGTCACTACTTCTAGAAAGAGCAGCCCGAAAATCTTTAAAGAGTTGCTTTGTTAAACAGGAAATTTATAAAGGACTGTGCAGAGACTTGTTCACAAGAGATTTAACTGAAGCTATGAACTGTTTCTTACTCACTGCACACATAAAATCTGTCAGTCAATAATGCTTTCCAGTCAGTACCATTTTGAAGCTTAATTCTGCCAAATCATCCAGAAGGGAAAATGACAACACATTTATTTTCAAATTTGTCAAGCTATCATGACCTTCCACTCTGCTAGTGAATCACTGGATGTTGGTTTCTATCAAGTTTAATTGAGTTAATTTCAATCTATTTCTTCATAAATCACAAATGCACTGCCTCCAACTCCATATTATTAGTTCCAAATACTAATTTCCTGCTCTTCCCAGTTATTTGAAGCAGCCAGTTACTCACATTAAGTCTGGACGGTATCTGTGGATAATGGCACACAAAGCTAAGCCACTTTTCCATGACATTGTGAGATCTGTCACATTAACACCAGCATATCCATCAGTCTGCCTCTGACACCAACTGAGCAATTTACTAGAGCGAGCTACAGACTCTGTAAAAAAATAGCACATTTCAAAATAGAAATGCACAACAGCTCAAATTCTAAGTACAATATAAACCCCATGAATCAACATGCAAAACCTTAATATAAAAAACAAACTCCTTCTACAATGGGTAATGGAGGACAGGATTCTTATTCTCTTTTAAAAATACTATCAATATCTATTTTAAATCCAATAAAGTATTTTTAATTTGCTGAAAAGTAATTATCTAAGTTGTAACTTGCCAGACTTTTCACCCTAGCTATTGTAAAAAAGCCCCAGGAAATATAAAACAGTTGCAAATGCTTGTTAAATATGATCAAAAGGACATACAGTAGCAGCGCTCTCTAAAACCCAGATATACTATTTCTAGTGGAAGAACTACAAATGCACTGCTGTAACAACTTCTTCTCCCTTGAAAACTTTCCTTTAAAAGCACTGACCTATTCTGACCTTGTTTTACCAGAAGATCTGATGAGATTACAGCCTAAAGGGACATGGCAGCAGGGCAAAGAGCAGAGACTAGGCAGCTATTCAGCAGTGAAAGGGAGGCTTAGCAGCAAAGAGTCACTCTGGGAGTCCCAAAACACTATGTGGGCATCCAAGACAAGGCTGCAAAAGGAAAAGTCTGACATACCCCTCAGGGTAGAGACAAGGAGACAGCTACTGAAATGCTTATCACAAGGCATCTAGCTCTCAGAATAATGCAAGCAAAGTGAGGTTTCATTTAGTTGAGAGATGAGAGGAAGAAAAGGAAAGCAGGAACATGCAAGACTGCACAAGCAATACCTTCCGATACATTTGTAAGCGTTCTGAGTCTACTGTTAGAGTGAACTCAGTCCAGGTCTCTGCACTTTTAAATAAGGGCACTGCTAGAGATAAAGGAGGTGAAAAGAAGTGCCTATACAAACAAATATGCTTTGAAAATTAACAGCATTATAAAATAAAGGAAATTAAGCAAACAAAAATAAATTCCCATGCTAATGGAAACTTGGAAAATTGTAAGCTCAGACTGTTGACAAAACAATTACTGGGTACATTTTCTAAATTAAGAGAGTGGTTAAATAATATCCTACAGCCCTGCTGCCCTCTAGTTCTGCACTAATCCAGCTCCAGAATACCAAAAGGAATAGGACAGCAGCCAGGCCTACCATTTCGAGTCAGCTTTGGTGTCCTGGAGTTCACAAAGTTCTCTATCTCCAGGTGAATGTCTTTCAAGTCTCCTGTATTATACAAGTGGCGTACCTAAAATGACACACACAAACACTTAAGATGATCAACAGATGCCGTGCACCCCAGATACACACAGAAATAACCAGAAGACAATAAGGAGACATCTCAAGGTACAAAAGGGAAGATAAGTATTTGTAGGTAGCAAAAGTCCAGCTGACTGCTGCTGCTCAATGGATACCAAATTACAATGACAGACTGCTAGACTGGATTATTACAAAGAAAATGCACATGCACACATTGAAGACACAAAATTAAAGGTTTCCTATATCATTATATCAGTTAAAATTATCAAAATCAAACATTCCTAAAAAGGAATTTGTTCAACTACAAAAGTTTACTCTTGACTGATGCAACTGCCTTTCACTGCTTCCATGTTACACACACATCACTCTCTGTTCTCAAAACACTGGCATAGCTTCACCTGAGAAAAGACACTGAGGATTGCAAGCACTCAGCAGCACCATTTGTGACTTACCTGCTGTGGCCGCAAGAAGTTGATGTTGATATTGGGGTATCGGGTGGCAGGATCAATGCTGTAATGGCTGAAGTTTTTACTCACGTTCTCTGGGGTGGTCTGAGGCAGCAGCCTATAAATGCTTTCCCTTGGGAAAATAACACAAAAAAAATAGTTTGGGGTTTTGTTTTGATTCATCTGTTTTGTTTAGGCTTTGTGGTGGTTTGGGGTTTTTGGTTTCTTTTGGCTGGTTTAATGTTTTGTTCTGTTTTTGTTTGTGGTGTTTTTTTTTTTTTTTTTTAATGAGAGATGTATCACTACTACAATGGCTAAGTAAACTCTGGAGAGATAAACATTCAAATCAGAAATCTAACCACTTCAGACACTACATTGATAAGAGTCAGCATAACCATATTAAAATCTGCACTTTAATGCAACTTCAGAATTTCAAAGGAGGGAAGAGAACAACACACTAAGCGAAACAGAAGGGGTTGCCTGGTACAATAAAGACACTGAGGAAGGACTTGGGAAGAGGGGCCACCAAGGGGACTGGAGCATTTGCCCTGCGAGGAGAGGCCAAGAGAACCGAGTTTGTTCAGTATGTGGAAGAGAAATCCCAGGGAAGATCTTACTGCTGTCTGAAGTGGCTAATGGAAAGGTGATGAAGTCTGGCTTCAACAGCAACATTATTTTCCTCACTGTATTTTTTAAATTCAAACAAATGGAATCTCAAGTATGAATTATGCCATTGTGCAATTTTAGAAATTATACAATGGTTCCTGATGGTCAGAAGATTCAGCAGTTGCTGAAGTTGAAAATAGGACCTACAAACTGCTGTTTTTACTTACTCCATCTCCTAATTACTCAGGTTCTGATCTCCAAGAGAGCCCCTTGAGTCACCAGAACCACACTCAGGAAAAGCTGATTAACACATACTTCAAGAGAGACAAGATGCTGTTTGGCTTACAGGAAACAAAGTGACCATGACATACAGCAGGTCATAGCTTCCTTACAAGGAAATAATAAAAAGCATTCACAAGATAATAGGAGACAGCAAGAACTTTTGTATCTGGTACTTTAGAGGCACCTCCTACATCTTCATCTGGTTTGCCACTGAAGGGCTGTGACAGGCTCACTTTGTCCATGCAATGTCAGTAAGCACCCAAAAAAAAAGATTCCTCATCTAATCTTTTAAAACTAGGACCAGGAATAGCAACTTTTCTTACTTTTCTATATACTTCAGTTTATCGACTCCTTTGAAATTTTTTTGCTTTAACTGAATGATACCCTCATGCATTTTCCAAAAACAGTGAGAGTCTGTATCTCCCATTCTATCTACATATTTGTACTAAAAGAAACTGTAATGAATGATGAGATGTTGGACGATTGGATTAGAACTGTAAATGTATTCACTTTCTCCATTACCTCTCTGCAAGGACTTCCAAAGGACTAGCTCCGAGCGACCAACTTCGTACCATCCAAGCAGAGTCCATTGCAGCCAAAAATCCCCTGGCTATTCCAGTTCCCATTGGCCAAAAAGGCTGATAGTATAGGTTACCAAAAAAAAAAAAAAAAAAAAAAAAAAAAAAAAAAAAAAAAAAAAAAAAAAAAGGCAGAGAAAGGAAAAGCATCACTTAGGGAAAATCTTAAAGAAGTATCAAGTACATATTCAGGCAGTAATCTGCTGGGAAATTATAACTCAGTAATTAGCTTCAAGCTCCACTCCCACTGGGCTAGAGGAAACCAGATGTACAGTGAACAGCTCATGAGCTATCCCAAAGCCAATATCCCTCTATTTCCAACAGTAATTCATAGCCTGGGGTGCCTTAACAGCTTCTCTTCAAGACAGTACATTTTTAACCAACTACAAAATGCTAACTACTAGCAGGCCTACAGTAGGTTCTGTAGAGAGTCAACAAGAAGCAGATGGAATAGACAGAACTTCAGAAAAAGCTCTGCACACATTTTCTTAAGCGCAATCATTACCATGCTAAAAATTCTATTTCCCCAGCACTCCTACCCTTCCTTCAAACCTCCCACTTTATTCTATAACAACCAGCAGCTTTCTTTCCTTAGAGTGCCTCTCTGCCAGTGCTGGTGCAAAGGTTTGGCTCATTCAGAGCTTACACCCGAGAAGCTGAACACAAACCTCCAGGAGGCTGTCCCCGACCAGTGCCACGAGGAGCTGGTGGCCGTTCTGCTCGCGCACCAGGGCCGCGTTCTCGGACGCGTACATGCACGTGAAGTCAAACATGGCCACGTCAGGCTGCCCATAGTGGTTGATGGCAAAGTCCAGCGACGGCAGCTGCTGGTTAGTGGAGAAATCTGCTGCTTCCCTGGCATAGTTCAGCAAAGCCTCCTGGTCCACGTTCTCCCGGGAGAGTAAAACCTCTGTGTCGGCGTGGTCCTGCCGAAACCAGCAAAGTTAAAGTGCCACGGTCAAATCCACAAGTTTATCTTAAGATTGGTATATACAGAAGTTGGCATTAAAATTCTGACAAATCCACTCATGCTAATTTGCCTGCTAATTTCTTTCATTCTTATGTTAATGCTTCCAGGATAAAATCTATAGATTTTTATTGCAAACAGTAATCAGTCCTGCTTGCGTTTCTTTCTGTGAAAGGGCTAAGAAACTTTTGAGCATTTTTCATTCCCATAAAATGAGGGAAGCTCAACTAAGCTATTAAATATTTCTTCAGCATATTTTATCTTAGCATAAACAAAATTCCCAAATCTACAAAAGGAGACAAATTTGAAAACGACAGGTTTTGTAACACTCATCTGATGGTTTAAGATACTTCAGGAGGGCATTAACTGCCTTTTAGAACACAATTACATTCATGTTCTAAAATAACAACTGTAGAAAAACATTATGTGATGGAGGAAAAGCACATTTTCCTACTTTCACCTTACAAAAAGTAAATTATCACCACAATTTTAGCTTACAGAGAATACAGGAGAAGTTAATACCCACATGCCGTATCACTCCTTTATCCAGCAAGCTCTGCTTTTTGGCAGTCATGACAAAGTAGTGTGTATCATCTTTGTAGTAGACAATGTTCTCCAAGTCAATGCCTTGTGACAGAACAAAAGACATAGTAGTGAAGGAACAAGTTAGGAGTTATGTGCAACAAAAGTTCTACCAGAAGAAAGTAAATTGAAACTGCATGGTTAGAAAAAGAGAATACCATGTTCTGGGTGACTTTAAATTCTGAACTGTCAACAAAACCACAGCACATTACACTTGCATAAAGTCACCTCTTTTAAAAAAATCCATTTATCTTAACTCTAAGGTTTGCATTCAGATGTGGAGTGCAAAGAGTACAACTCTGGATTCATGACTTCTTCCCATTTAGGGTTCTGATCTTCTGAAAACCCTAAGTTCCCCACTTCTGAATCAAAATGACACACATCTGCTTTGTACAGCAGAACAGCTGAAAAACAGGGAAGTCATATTTCAGAGGCAGCACTGACTGACCACCTTGCACAAGATGCTTGTTTCTTGATCGAACACACAAATCTGAGCTGCAAAATTGTAATTATACAGTTTCTATTTCACTGGAAATCTGTCAACTGCTGGCAAACCTGTGGCATCTCGGAGATCCTGGAAGAACTTCTGGTTGAAGATGAAGGCCACACCACTGATCTCTTCTACTTTGGCTTCAGCCGTGGTGTTGCGATTGATAAAGTTTGCTGTGATAGCAATTGCAAGTTTACCGCGGAATTCTTTTCGGCGAAACCCTACAGGAAGGATAAAGTTGTAATGCTGAAAAAGCAAACACACCTTCAGAGAAGGCTCAGTATAAAACAGACAGGTGCATTCAGAAAGTAAAGGGAGAGAAGGTAATTGACGAGTTACAAACTCCTTCACAGAGGAAAGAACAATTGCTTCATCAGAAAAGTGCTATTTAGGGAAAAATCTCCCCACCACCTCATCTTTCATCTCTGTCCCTAAAGCTGCAATTTCCATTAAAAAAAAGGGATTCTCTGCTACACAGAATAATACTCAACACCTCAATTCCTACACCCAAAGGTAGGAAGGCAATACTACTCAACTAAAGAAAAAATGTAGGAAAAATTATCCAGATCAAAAACCCTTATGTCTCTATTCGTTTAGAGGAAGAAAAAAAAGACCACCCACATCTCTGCTATAAATGGATTTTTACATGGACTTTTAATCTCCCTATCATTTGTCGAGTGTCTTTCCAGATGTTCATTCTAACAAGTTTAAGGTAAGTTCTGTTTGGAGGTGAATTATGAACCATTACCTTCTAAGGTGTTCCTCCTGCCATCCCCTCCAATGATTACTTCAAACTCGTACTCAGACACTGGATGGGTTTTGGGATGGACCAGTGCACGCCAACCTATTCCTGTAGATAAACTCCAAGTTAATGACAATGTAAATGGCAATAATAATAGAAAAAAATTAGCTAGAACCAGTTCTTACTATCAGTAAATCCTTCAACACATGATCAGTCAAGAAACCCTGCGGTACAGCAACAGTGATGACAGGGTTATTACTGAACTGTGCAGCAGCTCCACATGAATCAGAGGCAGACACAGCTCTGTAAAACTCCCCTAATTCCTTTAAGGGCCCCTACAAACTTCTCTACTTCCTATACAATTAATAAAAAGCCAAAAAACAAGTAAGCTACACCTCCTGTGGTGATCAGAGAACAGGTTTCACAGCGATACCAAAAGCATAACCAAGGATCATTCGCCAATATAAATATGCTCAGTGAATGCAAAGAAAGGAGTTGTTTCAAAATGTTACGTAATAGGTTTAAGTATTTTAGAAGCAATTACAATTTACCATGTCTCTGTCTATTTCTGTGTAGTCCTTCTGGTGACTTTGTTCCATACAGTAAGTAATTTGGATTTGTCACTAGGAAAAACAAATCCTACTAAAAATCCAAGCTAAAATGGATTAATAACTATTCTTATTAATGGAGTATGAGTAAAGGACTTAATGTTATAAGCAGAGTTAAGGAGTGTATCTTGTATATCCTACTACAACATCCCCCTTCTCTACTGCCCATTTCAGTGCTACTTGCTTTCATTCTCCTGGTCCTCTGGAGGGTAAACGAGCCCCCGAAATTCCACATTGACATGGATCTCTATTCCCAAGATCAAGGCAACCTTTAAAAGGATCAGCTGGAGCTGACGGATACCTGCAAAAAGCAGATTATAAAGAAATAGAAAAAAAAAGAGCACAAGTGGCCATGTGTGTCTGTGTGACATTACCGATACCCTGACTTAAAGGCCAGCTGCTACTTTCTTCTTCCCCAGCATGTTCCCAGCACTTCATCCAGGCACCACTGGTGTGTGATATCACAGCATGTTAAGAAAATTCAACACAGCTGAAAAACCAACTCTTTTCAAAGTATAAAAAGTAATTTTTGGTGTTTCAGTCCCCTAATCAGCAACAAGGGTAATAATCAGGACACAAGCTGCAGGAGAGGGAGGGAAGACGGCACAGGCATGACTGCACTTGTCACAGATGGCAAAGAGCCACTGGATCAGCCTGGCTTTAATAATGGCCTGCACCTCCATCCCAACACCTCTGGGTTAGTGAGGGCATAGAAAGCTCCTTACCACCTCTTTCCTTTTCAGGCCACTTTGGCAATGAGAATGAAAATTACAGCATGCAAACTCAACTAATTTGAAGGAAAATACCTGTCATATTTCAGATGCCAAAATGAAAAAATCCTTCACCTAAACCCTAAATTTTAGCTGTGCTGATATATAAAATAAGACAAAATGCATAAAGACTGGAAGAATAAAAATGAAAAGAAATTACAAGGAAAAAGCAATCTGCAAGGCTGAAGTTACAAAGAAATCTTCCAGTTTTACCATTTGTTGCCAAATTAAAAAAAAAAAGAGAACACAGACTGGTGGGCAACACATGGCTGTGTCATGTACAGTGAATTTTGGGGAAGAAAAAAGAAAAGAAAAATAACTCCTACTCCACCAAAGTGTTCAGCTTTCAAAGAGGATTGATTTAACAGACTATTACAATCATCAAGATTGTTTTCAATTTTAATGCATAAACATCTATTTAATCAAAACATATCTTCACACTCTTCTGAAAACTAACAAATCCAAAACTGTACCTCCTTTCTTCAGACTGAAATTCTCAAGAGTCTTCAAAAGCATGCACTAATTTTTCTTTACATGCTGCTCAAGAGATACAGAATAATGTGGCAGCTGCAGGAATGTATCAGCAAAAAACAGAAAAATTATCCATTTAAAAATAAAAAAGAAAAATTGGGCTTTAATTGTACTTTTCAGTGAGGGAAGAAGCTATGCCTTAGGAATGTCTAAGAGATGACAGATAAACACTACATGTTCTCATCTCATGACTAGCCCAGAATGCACAATGCAAAAGTAATGCTGTGTTGTACCATAAAAACTTGAGAGTGGGGACTGCTGTAGGCTGAATTTTCATTCCCACCTTCTTTCCCCCAGGAAGAAGCAGTGCTGCTGCGTCCATCCCTGGCTGTACTTACTGATATGGTCTATGGATCCTGCGCAGAATTTGCCGTAGAACTTTTTGGCGCCGAGGCCCCTCAGGTCGTGGATGGTGAAGGGCCACAAGTGCAGCACATTGTTGCGGGAGAAGGCATCCCTCTTCTCTATGACCACCACCTTGGCTCCCAGGAAGGACAGGTCGATGGCTGTGCGAAGGCCACAGGGTCCAGCCCCAATGATCAGACACTGCAAAACAACCAGCACCGAGTAACTGGACAGTCCTTGGAGGAAATGGGTATTCCTGCAGCAACTTCCGCGTGTCCCACAGCTCTTAGGAAGAAGTGCTCTTTGTCTGAAACATAAGCTGAAATTTCAGAACAGTCTTTCTGTTTCTACTTGCCAAGGTCTGCCATTGATAAGCAGAAAGCACAACCTGAAAATTAAGTATATTGCAGAGCAGTGAAAAGACTCAGGAAGCAGGCAAGTAAAACTGTGTGCTTGTTTGCAACCCTTGCTTTAAGAAGAGCTGCCCAGTTATACTCTGCAAGCTACATAAGTACCTGGAGAACAGCAATACTTCTGAAGGCTTCTCCTTCCCACATTGCTTTTTTTTTTTCTATAAAAATTGAAGCAAAAAATTAAAACAACCCCCAAAAAAACAAAAACAGTGACAAGTTTTCCTCTCATCTTCCAAACCCTGAGCTGGCCTTTTTTAAGAATATCTTCAGTAGCATTGCAACAGTTACAGCAGACAGACACAAGACACTAATGTTTTTATAAACACCATCATTTAGAGTAACAGAATAACACAGATTAGACAAGTCAGAGCACAATAATTTATGCCTTTGGTGGTGCTTTTGTGCTTCCACTACTGTAGCAAAGGAGACTTCAGGGAAGTGAACGCACGTAAACAAAAATTTTGTGCAACCAGACAAATCTTTTCTCCAATCCAACCTTTGTCATATGAAAGGCCTTTCACCTTCTCTTATCTTTTCCCACTCTGCTCACGAACACCATCAGATGCTAATAAACAACTCGAGAATGTAAAATACGTGCCTGTCGAGTGTTGAAGTACCTTCTGAGAACAGAATGATGCAGCAAAATACTTTTAGATTAAAAACCCAAGATAGTCAGGAGACACTTCTTAGCCACAGAAACCGAGGTCCACAGAGAAAGTGTTGGTATGTGCAGTCACATAAATACAGTACACAGTCCATTTCTTCATCATATTGTACTTTGGTTTCTACCAAGTAAACCAGAGATGTGGAATAAAGACCTTGTTACAGAGGTGGCTGCTGCTGCTGCCGTGTGATTCTTTTCCATATCCTTATGGCTGCACAAGGAAGCTCTTTGAGGAATTCTTAATTATGCCAAAATTTAACTATGAGCCAGTGTTCTGATAAACAACCAATCCCCAAAAGTAAAACTTTGTGTTCAGTGGTCATCCCCATCTGACAATATTTACAGGCTGCTACATTCTCACCACTTATTCGCTGGGGTATAAACTCTGCAAGCACCATGAAACTGCAAATGTAAAGCCTGAATGATGGAAAACCAGTTACAGCAGTGATGATATAGTTATGACATGCAAATTCCACGTAGGACTACTGAATAAGATAAGAAGTCACATAAATCTGAGGGCAGAGATCCAAGTCTAGAGGAAAGGGAAGGGAAGAATAACACCACTGCTTTAGTAGTTTCAGGAACCTGAAAGCATTTGGGACAAAAGGCACACCCTCTGAACTAATAAATACCTAAATAATATTGTGTATTGAACAGGTGTCTATCTTGTAATTTGATATAAGGGATCCTCAGTTAGGATCTACTATATTCTTCCAATTTAATATTGCTTTCTTTGTAGGTAAATGTAACTCCCAAACATCACCTTGTCTATCTTTTTTTAAACTTTTCAGAAAATCAGCTCAGTATTATCATACTTATTCAGGTAATAATTTTCCTTGGCTGACAACTACAATCTTCAAAGAGCCTGGATTTCAATAAGCAAAAAGAACACACTGAATTCGGTGATTTTCATTCTTTGACAAATTTCCACATATAAAATATTTATGATGGAGTACACAACAGCAAAGGAATTGGACTAAAATCAGACTATTCCAACTCAGGTTTTATTAAATTATAAGCTAGTTGCCTGAAACTTTGTCACAGGAACTTAAAAGGTTTATTCCTCTCTATCCTTCCTCCCTGCTCTCATAGTAGGATGTGGTTAAAAGCACTCAGATTTAGATTAAGATTCTGTATATTCTGAATGTATAATACTCATGCAAGTAATTTATGGTCGAAGTTGCATTTTATAAATTCCATCACAAAAACATTAAATTATGTTGTTATAGAACACAAATTTTAAGTAACATTAAATTATGTAATTATAAAACATAAATTCTAAGCACAATTAAAACCAGAAAACATTATTTTCTACCTATAGTGCTTCTTCCAGTGTCAGATGTCTCATAAAAACCCACGTTCTGGTACTCGCAGTCAGCAGTAACTCCATGACATGCCAAGCACAACCAAATAAAGGCAGCTACTGTTATTCCTTGTTCCCTTTCCCTTCAGTGACTCCAAGCAATTGCAGCAACTCCTTGCACTGAAGCTGGCTCACCCCTCAAAAACACTTCTTGCTCAAGGTCTTTCAGACAGATTATATCAAGTTTCCAATAACAATGCCATGGTAATAGAATATCAAATGCAAACTGAAATGCTGTATTCTCTTTATAACCAATGGAGAGAAAGCACCATTTGTAACTATTTACATTTGAACAACCCATCACGTCCAAGACACTTCCATGAACTCTGATTATCTGCATTCTGGTTAGCCTGGATGCTGGCCATGTGCACAAACTGCTCAGCTCCAGGCAGAGCACCTCATCCCTGAACAATTTTTAAATGGGCAATTAATTAAGAGCTATCCTACAAAGTATGAAAACTTCAGAATTGGTTTATGTTCAAGTGTACAGAAGCCAGGCTTCCTCAAGAAATTACTGACTTCTATTCTGACATGGATAAAACCCTAATATTTATTTTAAATTCTATCATCTCCACATGCCCACTTAAATTTCTGTACCTTTTCATCAGCAGTTTGCAAATTACATTAAACATTAGGAATATAAAGCCAAGTGAGTTAGGAAACATCAAATCACACATGACTCAGTTTTCAAAAGGCCTCTGCTTTAAATAGTTATGATTACCTCTTAGGAGTATAGTAAATTTAAACATTTAATGGCAGACACTATTTGGAAAGAAAACAAGAAATTAATAGAAACATATATGAAAAGATAAGAGGAATACATGGTAAAATTTGGTTTAAAAAATATGTCCACTACAGTCATTGCCAAGTCCCATCACCGTGATCCTTCAGACCAACCTCAGGAAGTTCTGAGGTTTTTCTCTCGTTTAATGAGGGACAGTCCCACATGAGCTCATGAGCCTCTCTGTTTATCTCACCACCACATGCTCCTTCTACAACAACTCTCTTGATCCCAGTTCTCCAGTTCCATTCTCACTCCCTTTAACTTGCCTTTGGTGTATGAAATAGCTTAAGCTTTTGGAGGATACAAAATCCCTAGCAACCTCTTCAGTCAAACATCACTCCCAGGATGCTTTACTCCTTTTACCCACTTCATAACTGTACTTGAAGAGAGGTTTTAAAGACACTTGGTGGCATGTATTTACTCAAAGCACACCCTTTTCTGATGACTATTGAGCCTCTGTACTCCTCTGGGTCTCCAGTTATTCTTTCAGAGCACCTTATCTGAAGGACTCTCATTTCTCTCATTCCTCTCACTGCCAACTTCCCAGGGGGCTTCACCCATGATCTCGTGTCATCTTGCTCTAGAAATTGTCTTTGCATCACCTCATCAGAGACAATGGTTTCATCAGCTTTGCCAGAGCTTTCAATTCACAAAACCTCCAGCTTGAGAGTTGGCTACTTTTGGCCAAGCTAAAATCTCTACCTTTCTGACATTTCCTTGTGGCTGCCTAATTGTTAATTTAAGCCAAATACAACCAAATGGAGCTCTAATGTCCTTCTAAACTCAGATCACCACTTCCTAGTCATATCAATGTCACACTCGATTTTCTGAATGCCTTTCATAGCTGGATGTCACCCTCCACTCACATCTGGTTTTTCATATGCTCTCACAATCAAGCACTACCCACTTAGATGCCCATTAAATCCCTTCTTTAATGTTTCATCTCTATTACTGAACCAACGTTTTCCACGGTGTTAAAAAAATCACTCTTACAGTCTATTACTCAAATAAGTTAAAAACCTCTACATCTTATTCCTTTCATCTGTTTGTCATAAAAACATAAACCACCTATCCTCATTTCACAGACTTAAATATTTTAGTTCAGCTCAGTCCATTATGTTTCATTCCAAGTAAGAGGAATTCCTGAATCGAATGAACGTCCAGGGCGATCAATTTTGCAAAAAATTTAGAATTTTTCTCCATTATGCTTGTAGAATTTGGAAGATATATTCCTCAGCACAAAACCTATTACATTTATTTTCTGGTAAATTCTTTCTTTCTTATGTTGCCTGAAAAATGTAAACTTTAACAGTGGTTGGATTTTTGGGGTGTTGAAGCTACTGCCCACTTTGACTACCAACAGTGCCCAATTGCTTGATTTTCAGAGTTTATCAAGAGTAATTCATTATAAATGCCTCCATCATCATTAAAATGGCCACTGGAAAGTGAAACAAGATAAACAATTAAGAAAATAATATAATTTTCTAATATCCAGTTGGGGAAAAATATAAGTCCACAGATCTGAAATTACATTCTCTAAACAAGATATATTCTCCCTCAATTCCATACTGAGGAATTAGTCATTAATTCTTCCAGTTAAAGTACTTCCTTCCCTCAAAAGGTGACTATTCAAGAGAAGGAGCAGCATCTATTGTCTTTGATGAAGGAGGACAGAATCCTGTTCTAATTTTATCCTATTCTGCCCTATTTGTCTATTTTGAAAAAAAAAAAATTGCTTCTTTATTTGCTTGATTATTCACAAAACCAACCTATTCTAGTCACATTTCAATAAATGATAGAAAGAACTGCTTTCAAACTGCACTGTCCAAGAGCAGCAGCACATAAATGCCAACTCACAATAATTGAGGTTAAAAAAAAAAAAAAGGCAAAATTCTCTGTGTGTATGTGTAAAAGCACGAATTCCTGAAGTAAATACCACACATATCAATCTTTTAAAAAATTGGTATGAGTTTCCACAGCATTTTTTTTCCTCTGAACTTAGAATAAAATTGATCACTTTCTAAATAACAGGAAACAGTCTTTTTTTGCCAAATTGGCAGAAAAGTTCCGTTTTCTTGAGAGAGTTATGAGCATTTTCAAATTACAACTGGAAATTTCCAAACATGCATACTTTGTATCCTAAACTCCAACAGCACACATTCCTATTACTGTCAAAATGCAAAAAGGAGTCAACCAAGGTTTACCAATTAAGATTTTCCAAGCTACCTATCTATAGGACCAATGCCACAAAAACTTATAATGTAAGAACTTGCTGGCTGCTCCTCCTGAATAAAATACAAAATAAAATACATTCAAGTGGGTAGTCACATCTTGTGGTGACAAAAGGAATTTCTGATTGCTGATCAAATGCTAAAATTGTGAGAACACTCCTGAAACGTCCCTGGGCTTACAGTGACACCAGACAATATTGTTCTACATCCACACCTTTTTACTGTGTATTCCAGAGGGATTGGGAAATAGCTGCCTGGACCATGGTGACTGAACCTCTTACCTTTGTGTTGGCGCATGCTTTCCCCTTCTTGTAGTCCTTATGGCTGCCTCTTTTATCTAATTTGGCCCACAAGGCTTTGGCTTTCCAGTAATTGAGCTTGGACTTGAGTTTGTGATAGAAGGAACGATAGTCCTTGGGCTTTAGCTCTAGGTAGTCACAGAGTTCCTGGAAAGCCTTGAGAGTCCCCTTGCAGGTGGAAGCCTGGACAAATCTGTCGAAGAGAACATGAGCCTGGTTCACCTTCTCATTTTTACTTTCCTCCATGCTTCACACGTGGCAGCTGCCCAGGGGGGCAGCTGTGCTCTTCCAGTCTGCCAGATTTCCTGATGTTGTTCTGCTGAGCCACTTTCACCTCTGCCTTACAAGCATTCTTAACCTATAAAACAAAAAGAAGAAAGAGTAACTGAACTTGCTCTTTTTCGTTCCAAAATTTTGTCTATGTTTGCTGAACTAAGAGCCCAGATTCCCAGTCAGCCCTCAGTTGGATTGATATCCCAAGGATTTCTACCCACGCTAACTGAAGAGGAGGCTTCCAGAGTTCACTGAGCCTCGCTGCAGACAGCAGCACATCCCACATCTCTGTTAAATCACAAAATAGTTTAACCTGAGCCAGTGTCTTGGAAGTTTCATCAAAACTCATTCTGCATGAAGAGCAGAGAAGTTACAAGTAAACAGGCAGATGTTACATGATATCTGCATGAGGGCAGAGGTTGTAAAACAGAACAGGCAGACCTACTATGTCGCAGTTACTGTGTAACACCACAGCAATGGCTATGGGCTGGTGTTAAACATGCTACTGACACAAAACACTTCCAGAGTCAGTATTCCATCAGTAAAATAAGCTTTTGTGTCTTCATTCTAAAAAGACACATGTCTTTGGTCACAATAAATAGAGATAAGAGAGGATGGCATAGCAGAAGCTGATATAGAGTCCTTGCCAACTCTGGTTTTTGCAGTGATGCCTACTGTGATCTTAAAAATTAGTTAAACCTGCTAATAGCAATCCATTTCTTAGAAAAATAAGTCAAGGCTGAATAAAGGAAGCCTGTCTGTGTTGCATGAAGCAGTATAAACATTTTCCTTTCCTAAAGCCTATACATATAATTCTGTCCATAAAGGAGCAGCCTAAGAGTGAAACATGGCTGGTGCATGATTCTTCTAAGATTCCCATACTAATTCCACTCTTCTGTGGCTCTCAATTTCTTTTGATACACAGGTCCATAGAAAATTTTAGGTGGTAGCTGGGGTCTATTTTAATCTGCTGGGGCAGATCTGCTGTAATGAGCTCTGCTGCTCGGTTCTGGGATCCCTCAGAAGCAGGCTGGAGATCTACAGAATTGTTTGGATCACAATTAGAGATTTTGTTTAAAGCATAGGTATTTGCTCTTCTTCTTCTCTCTCTCTTTTATATAGAATAAACCTTTTTCTTTCATTTAGAAATACCACAAAGTACATACTCTAAATTACTCTGCTTGCTGAGAAAGAATAGTTCTGTTTGCCTTAGATATGAAGGCACCATGGAAACATATGTACAAACTATGGAAGTGAAAGCACTTCTGAGGTGTTTTTTGCCCTTTGTTTTTTTGGATGTGTTTTTTTTTTGTTTTGTTTTGGTTTGGTTTTTTTTTGTTTTGGTTTGGTTTTTTTTTTTTTCAAAGGGTATTAAGGTAAAAAGGGAAATATGTGGACTTGGAAAAAACTTTTTAGATTCTTACCAGCTCTTTTCCTGCTTCCAGCAGACAGGAAGCCAAGCCAAACATTACAGCTCATGTCTCTTCCCCTCCCATATGACAGCTCTCCAGTAGTTTATTTGGGCACTCCTGCTTTTCAGCCTAACATGGTGTTTATTGTTTATGTTTAGAAAGGGCAAAGGAGACCTGGAAACCTTTACAAACAGCCACAAACTGGTACTTTTTAAAAATAGAAGTTTTAACAGTGAAAGTACAGAAGTCAAAGTACAACAGTGGGTTATAGTGCAGAATGCAATTCTGACTTTATTAAGACAACCACCTTAGAGGACTCAGTACCCATGAAGCTGTTTTTCTAACTGGCTGATAGTGATACCCATATCCATATCAGTACTGCTCACTAAGCAAATTGGAACTGCTTTCCTTATTATCCATCTTAACTTTACTGTTGCGAAGCCAGAAACATGCTCCAGGCTTGCACCTCAGGGAAACCACTGCACTGCTACAGAGGCCTAAGTCACAGAACCCTGAAATGGTTTGGTTTGGAAGGGAGACCTTAAAGGTCACAAAGCCCTGCCATAGGTAGGGACACTGTTGTGTTGCACCAAGA